TGCCTGTCTACCTAAAATATATCTGTTTGACCTTGGAAACATATCTAACATGACTACAAGTTTAATTGTAATAGGTGACTAACTACTAACCTGCATTTCTTTATTATCCTAAATAGTTTGTAATAATAACTTTCAAGGACTGGCAATGTGCATTACATTGTTAAATGAGATGTATAGGTACAATACCTTGAAGAAGATTATTAATGTATGTACAGTATATTCTAGCAAAAATACATCAACTTTGTATCAATATACAAAGATGTATAGTAATGTAAAATATTTAAAACAAGTAGTTGCTTTTTAAAAATAGATTCAATAATCTACCCTTTTATCCTATCATATCTATACCTCCCTTTTTTCATTTCAAAGTAGATTAAATAATTTATCCTTTAGCCTATAATTTCTATATCTCCTTTTTTTTACTCAAAACAAAAACCCTGAATCTAATCTCCTTTGTTCAGTTTTTTTTAACCATTACCAATAAAAACTTATAACCAACCACCCTAAACAATGACAAATATCCATAACTCGTTAAATGACCAAAAATCACCCACCCCACCTCTTGGGAATGTAGGCATCATGTTCTTAAAATTACTTCCTTCAGTGTGGGGGTGATGGCATCTTTAGGGGATCCTGAGAAGAAATGGGGTTAATTGTCAAGTCCTGGGAGAGGTAGCTGTATCATTTGTTTTTCTTCTATCCCGTATCAGGTGGCTCTTCTGACATGAGACAGAGATTTTTGGAATTTACTTTAAAAAGCATGCTTGGGTTTAGAGAAGGAGAGAGCCACATTCCAACTCCAAAGCCAGCTTTGATTTTCAATTGCATTGGGACTGCAAAAAGACCATTTGCCTTATGTGTCTGGAGAGAACAGCAGAAACAAACATTTAGAGAAATTTATGAAATTTTATCCTGTTGGAGATGTGATATTCAATAGGCCAATTTACTCTTTCTTCAGACATTTGGGGGGGCGTGTTTTGTCCTTTTTCTTCACATGTCTCATTTGTCCAGTGTTCTTCAGATTCTTTAGCTGGATGCCTTCATTCTCCTGAAAGACAAAAACAAAATTCTGCCCCAACCCTAACTTTGGGGAGTTTCCTTTTTGGCAGGTTATATCTAATCAAATGAAAGCATTTGTTAGTCATGTAAGTTAGTTTAGATTGAATGGTCATGCTGGTTGATGGATGGACTATCACCTCTTCTAATTAAGAGGTCTCTTTTGTTCAAATTGAACCTTTATCAATTTTGATGGTATCCATAGCTTTTCTTCTCCTGAGGAAACAAAAGCAAAACTTCTTCTCCAACGTAACACGCTGTTAAATGTTTCAAAAAGACAAAGTCAATGGGCTGTTATAGAGGTTTTGAAAATGGGGAAAGAGTGTCAATTCTCAGGCTATTTCTGCAGTTTCCAATACTTTAAAATTCTCTGGACATGGGCTGGAGAGATGGCTCAGTGGTTAAGAGCACTTACTGCTCTTGTAGAGGACTGGGATTCGGTTTCCAACACCCACATAGTGGCTCACAACTATCTGTAACTCTAGGCCCAGAGAATCAGATGTGCTCTTCTGAGCTCTGCAGGTACCAGGCATGCACATAGTGCACATACATGCATGCAGACAGAACACTCATACTTACACATGAAAAAGCAGAAACAAAACAAAAAATGGTGGTGGCACACGCCTTTAATCCCAGCACTCAGGAGACAGAGGCAGTCAGTTCTCTGTGAGTTCCAGGCCACAGCCTAATCTACACAGAGTTCCAGGACAGCCAGGGCTACACAGAGAGATCCTGTCTCCAAAAACCAAACCAAAACAAAAACAAACAAACAAAACCCAAAAGGCTGGTTCCTTAGAGACCCCAGTGAGAACTAGAAAGCAAGTAAGGGACACAGTCTGGGGAGACACAAAGCTTGTGTTTAGTGTGTTCTTAGCACAAAGTCAGGGGGCATCGGAAGAACCACAGGTGATGTCAGCCCCCAGGACCTCACAAAATGCTACCCGGGGTCAAAAGCTCAGAGAGCCTAGAGGTGACAGCTTCATCAATCTTTAGAAGCCCAATCCCATGCTATGAATTCACATTGCTATTTGAGATGTTTTTCTTTTCTTAGAAGTATTTTTGTTCCTTCTCTTTTTAGATTTGCTTTTGCATAACACAGACATCTACCCGAACAAATATATTTGCCTTGCACTACTGGAAAAAGGGCAAGCAAACATGCCGTTCCTATGGTGTTTCGCCCACCTTGCTTACGTTACTCTCCAGGAGCGAGCATGTCACTAGCTCAGGGCAGCACTTTGGGTGTTTTCATTTGACCCATGGCAATGACTTCATCGGCTCCCTCTAGGCCAGTCTTTCTCAACACGGGGAGACTTTCTTTCCTTACCCCCCTAGAGACACTGAACAATGTTTGGAGACATTGGGCGTTTCACGTCTGGAGGTAAGGAGGCGGGGCTGACACCTGTACATAAAGACCAAGGAAGTTGACAAGGGATCTTCAGTGCACAGAACAGCCATCAGCCAAGAGCCGACCCCAACTGTGGAAAGTGAAGAGGTTGAAAAGACTGCCCTAACCACATCCCACAGCCATCATAACGCTCATTCCACAAGGACACCCCTCAGTCTGTCCTGCCCTAACACAACCACGCTTCTCTTTTGTTTGGGAAGACACAGGATTTACTAACCACCTACGTCACGTTTATTGAGTGCATTTCTGTACATGTTTCTTTGGATTTTCTAGCAGGTCATTTATGCTTCACACCAGTCTCAGGAGTTATTAATGATATTTTAACAGATATGGAAACTGAGGCCCAGAGGTAAGGGGTAAAGGCAGGATTTGCACCCAGGTACAGTGTCTGCAAAACTCTCTTAACACAATTCAATTCTGATGAGTAAATATTTGCAAGTGTGCTCAGGGACAGAATTTCCAGAGCCAGATAGTTTATTGCACCACATCTGAACCCCAGGAGCTGTGGGCATGTGGACAAGGTCTTCCCTTCTTGGTACAGCATGCTCTTTCACAAATGCCACTTTGTCCCTGGAGCCTGGTAGATTATGGGGAGGGAAGAAAAAGACACGGTGTTTGTTCTGGGAAACGGGAATGTCTGCATGAGAAAGTGGGCTGCTTTATGAGAGCCCAGGGGCAGCTGACATGGTACTAGGTCATGGTAGAGAAAACTGCTCACAGTGTAGTGGGCAGGAAGAAACGAAGACAGGCAGCCCGGGTCCTGTTATCCCCTCCAAGGGCACAGTCCCTGTAGGCTCCATCTCATAAAGGCTGTACTTCTTTCCAATAGTGCCAAGCTGGGGACTGAGCATATGGGCCTTTGGGGACATTTCTGGTCCAAGCAATAACATCATACATCTGGCAATCTCTCCTACCAAAAAAAAAAAAGCTAAAGAAAAGGAAGCTGGACATGGTGGCACATGTCTTTAATCACAGCACTTGGTGAGATAAACTGTGAGATCAATGCCAGCTAGGACTAGATTATGAGACCCTGTCTCAAAAAGTGGCTGTTTCTAATGTTTGATGACTAAAATACCTTAATCTCTAATTCCTAGATGTGTTTGTTGACTTGAATATGGAATTTGAGGCAGAAAAATTATGACTTTGAGCCAGACTGAGCAATATGACAAGATGGTCTCAAAAGAGAAGAAAAAATCTATCACTTAGTTGTGATAGATTTGAGAATCCTGTTCTCTCTCTCTCTCTCTCTCTCTCTCTCTCTCTCTCTCTCTCTGTGTGTGTGTGTGTGTGTGTGTGAACGAACATGCTTGTATGTGTACGTGTTTGACGTCTGATGTCTTCCTCAAGTACTCTCAATCTTATTTTTTGAGACAGTGTCTCTCACTGAACCTGAAGTTCACTGATGAGACTAGCCTAGCTTGCCAGCAAGCTCCAGGTATCCATTTATGTCTGTCATAAACATGCCACGAACTGCCAGGAAGTTCAGAGAAGCTTGGATAACAGCCACTCATTCTGTCCTGTACTTCTCATAAGGAAGTGTGATTCTAGCCGGTGTGCAGGATGGTCCTGGTTAATGATTGGCCTCGGGTACAGGTGCACACACAGTGTTTTACCGTGGAGTCAGGTATCCAATCTCAGGTCTTCATGCTTACTCAAAGAGTGCTTTACCAAGTCAGCCATCTTACTAGCCCCTAAGAATCCCACTGTTTCTGGGAGGAAAACTTGATCTACTTAAAGAAAATGTACAAGAGAAATTAAGATTTCTTTGGAACTAGTCAAGTAGAGGGCCTCAGTACTTTAGAACATTTCACCATCCACATGGCCTTCCTTCCCACTCTGTCTTTCACTCCTACCCTCTTGCCAACTCACACTGCAACCACGGCATGCCCATGTATTTTGCAAAGTGTTCAAGCACAGTGTGCAGGAAGCAAGTCATCCACCAGCTCTTAGGGATAAAAATTGGTGCTGCATTTAACGGTTTACATGATTAGTTTCTTTGTTGCACTGGTAGAACTTTCATAGCCGAAGTGTACCTGGTGTAAGCCAAAATTAGAAGGAAGCACAGTGGCACACACTTGAAATCCCAGCTCCTGGGAGGCGTGGTGGGAAAATCACAAGTTTGAGGTCAGTCAGAGCTACACAGAGAGACCATATCTTGAAAACAAATCACAAAACAAACAAACAACAACAACAAAACAAGGCTGTGAAATGTATCTCAGTTGCCTAGTATGCTCTTGTCCCTGAGTTCAAAAATCTCTAAGCCAATACCACCCACAGCATATACCAACTGTTTACGGAGTACTGATCCCAGACACTAAGTGCCAAACACCATTAATGTGAATATTCCATTTAATTCTCACAACAGTATTGCCATTTTATGGATGCAGAAATTGAAGCTTAAAGAAGTATAGTCACTTGCTCAAAGTCACAAAGATAGTGAATGGAAGTACGAGAACTCAAGTCTGGTCCCCAGACCCCTTGCTGTCCTGTATCCCACACTGGATCATGAAGATGTCATCAGGGTGTAAGAGTGTGACTTGGGAACGGGAGCCGGTGTCTGGAAGTTACTGGGATGAACCCCCTGTCTCCGTATTTAAATGTGGATCCATGCTATCTTGTTCAGGATACCGATGAGTTCATTTTGCCAACTGGAACTAACAAAACCCGAGGCAGATTTGAGCTAGCCTTCTCTACCATTGGAGGATATTGCGTGACAGGGGCCACATTTGGGGCAATGAACGGTCTGCTGTTAGGACTGAAGGAAACCCAGAGCATGGCCTGGTCCAAACCAAGAAACGTACAGATTTTGAATATGGTGACGAGGCAAGGGGCACTTTGGGCTAATACTCTAGGCTCCCTGGCTCTGCTCTATAGTGCATTTGGTGTTATCATTGAGAAAACACCAGGTGCGGAAGATGACCTCAACACAGTAGCAGCCGGAACCATGACGGGAATGTTGTATAAATGTACAGGTGGTCTTCGAGGAATAGTACGTGGTGGCCTGGCAGGACTGACCCTCACCAGTCCCTGTGCACGGTATAACAACTGGGAGCACATGAAAGCTTCCCTGCCCCAACAGTCACTCTGAAGATGTTGCCACCTCTGGACTGGGGGACATTTCATAGTCATCCAGATTGATTACTAAGTCAGTCTGGAGTTGCTTTCTCACGTGTACCGACAATTACTTTGAACAATTGGAGACTCTGATTTGCTGGGACAAAGATCATGGGTGGTTAGCCTGGACTGAACTGCTTGCCCTTAGTGAGTGGAAGCCAACCCCTTGGTGGCTCACTGAGTATGTGTTCTCTTCTCCTTTGGAGATGATCTTGCACCTGTTTTCTCTCCTACCCCAAACTGGAAAACCACTTACTCTCCAAATTCAGACCAGACTTATTTTCAACACTTTCATCACCATGTTTATCATTTAAAAATCTAAAACTACTGTTGCCCTGTATTCCAAATAAAGGGTGAAAATAGAACCAAAGTCATAATCCCAGCCAAAAAAAAAAAAAAAAAGAGTGTGACTTGGGCAGCACAGTACAGTGGCACTGGATCTGTAGTTTCTTCTCATAGACTGTCACTTACTCAGAGCATCTCCACATTATCTGTTGTGGGGAGAATGAGGTCATCTTCCTATAGGATAGGTTTGGCTTTCCCTGCAGGCACTCCTAGGAACCGCATGATGATCCAAGAGTGCCAGAACATGTTGAGTTGAGCCCATAAGGTGAGGGCCTCTCAGAAGTAAATGGAGACCTTTGTTCCCTTAGCAAAAATAAACAGTGATTCTCTAGTCATCAATAATAAGAGGTTGTTTTGTTGTTTGTTGGTTTTCTTGCTTTTAATGATCAGGAAGAGACAGATGGGTGAAGGACAGGGAAGAATTTGCTATTATTTGGGTATACCTTTGATTCATGCCTTAGCTCTGTCAATGGTACTCAACCCATGGATGGTGTATTAGTCATGACTAGAGGAACAATATATGTATTAATTGTATATAAAGGGGATTTATTAGAATGACTTGTTATGGCCAAACCAAGGGGCATTTGATGCTGTACTTTACCCATGTGTCAAACACTTTGTAGTACTATTGGCAGGTAAAACCTTTAAAAAAACAGGACCCAGGGCTAGGGGGATGACTAAGTCAGTAAGCTACCAGCCATGGAGGCACAGGAACAGAATCCTGGTGTTAAGGAGATGGAGACAAGAGAATCCTGGGGTTTTTTGGCCATGGTATGTAGCCTACTAGGCAAGCTCCAGGCCAGTGAAAGTCATTGTCAAAAAATAAATAAATAAACATAATAGATTGTACCTGAGAAATGGCACCTAAAGTAGTTCTCTGGCCTCCAACTGCATACAAATGTTTATACACATACATATAAGCAAAGTGGGAACCAGCAATGTCTTATGACGTTGGGGGTTGTGGGATCTCAGACCCTACTTTCTCTTTTTCACAACCATGAGTTGAATGGTCTTCCACCAGACACTCCCGCCATGATATGCTGCCTCACCACAGCAATGTCACCAGACCTCCAACACCATGAGCCAAAAGAAATCATTTCTCTTTATAAGTCAACTGATTGTCTTGGGAATGCCCTACAGCAATGGAAAACTGAGTAACACCTTGTGGTAATGAGTAGAAACATCCAGGAGAGAGCTTCTCAGAGGCCAGGGGTGCTACTAAGTGTCCAACAGTCCAGGACAGCTCACAACACAATTATCTTCTCCTAAATGGTGCTGGGTTGGGAACCCCTGTTCTCTAGAATAAAATGGGATAAGCATGTGGTACTTGAGTAAAGTTTATAATTTGTCGTCAACTTTCATATTTATCTGGCACCATACTAATCTCCATTGAAAAAAAAAGGGGGGTATTTGGAAGTTTAAATCATCCTGACTCCACATATCTGAATCTAGAATCAAAAGAAAAGTGATTCTCAACATACAACAAGTCACTACTCTCACTGCCCTGACGCACCCCCAAAATCATCAGTGAGTCTCTTGACTACACACTTTCTTAAGAAAGTGGGAGATTTGGATAACAATCATCCCAGCAAAATATGGTGGAAAAATGGAATCAAGGACATTCCAGAAATAGTTTGGAGAGAAACTGACTTGAAGGTAAAATGTGCAATTAAAAACAAAAGGATTTTAAAGAAAGAGAAGTAAAAATAGAGCAAAAAGAGATCTATGATGATTCCTCTTTATTGCCAACACAATAATAAATCATGTTTAGAAGTACCTATGAGATGAAGGAGAGGATTTCCATGGCGTTTTAACTGAGGAGGAAAGACACAACCTGAGAGTGCTCAATGATAGCACCACCCACAATGCACTGGGCCCTCCCTCATCAATCGCTAATTAAGAAAATGCCTTACAGGCTTTCCTGCAGCTAATCTTATGGGGCATTTTCTTAACTGAGGTTCTCTCCTCTCAGATGACTTTAGCTTGTGTCAAGTTGACATAAAACTATGCAGAACAGGGAGTAAGGGGCTAGCCTGCTTCTGTGTCTTGCTCAGTCTTTGGCTAAGGGCCACCCTCAAAATAGAATGTCCTCAGCCAACAATACTTTTGGCAGTAATTCCTTTCTTGATGAGGGAACCGATTTCTGTTTTTGGTAGTGACCCCAGAAAGCAGACCTTGAAGCAAGGATTTATGTGAAAGTGACTTATAAAGAAGGATTCCTAAGAAAATCCTGGGAGTGGGATGGTTAGACCAGAGAAAGGAGGGTGTCTATGAAGCTGGGAGAGATTCCAGGAAAAGTCTCACTGGCAGTAGCTTTGGGTGAGCCTCTATGATCCTCACATTTGGAACTGACCGATCAGAGGCAGCCCAGTGTCAGTCTGTCCCTGCATATCTGCCCAGTGATGTCAAAGCTGTTATAGTAAAATCCTGTACCTGAAGGCAAAGTGGGTTCTGGTGGTTTTAGGAGCCAGAAAATATGTAGGTGTTGGCTGCAAGAAGTGAAAGACAGGGTTGTATGAACAAGGGGGTGCTTGAGAATAGCAAGTAAACTTGAAGCAAGAGAGTAGGTGTGGTGGTCTAAATGAAAATGCCTCCATGTGTTCATATATTTGAATGCTTAATCTCCAGTTTGTGGAACTGTTTGGGAAGGATTAGAAGGTGTGGCCTTGTTAGAATAGGGCTGGACTTGCTGGAAGATAAGGTCATTTGAGTAAGAATGGCCCTCTTAGGCTCATATATTTGAATGCCTAGTCAGTAGGAAGTGGAACTCTTTAGAAGGATTAGGAGGTATTATTGGAGAAATTATTTTGGCCACTCCACGTAGTTAAAAGGATATTTATTAAATGGCGTAACTCACAAATTAAGTATTGGGTAGGTCGCAGGGTCTGGGGAAGGTGTAATGCAGTCTAGCGGTGTTCTCCGGAGCTCTGCACAGTCAATCTGCACCGGTCAGCGTTCCGGCACCGAGAGAGCGCCCA